AAAGGAACAGAGAACCTTGGAATCTGGTTTAGAAGGTCTAAAATTTAGAAATTAACTGATTATACAATCAGTGATTGGGCTGGGAGTCCAGAGGATATGAAGAGCACTTTAGGGTATATATTCTATATGGGTTCAAGTATCATTTGCTGGAATTCATCAAAGCAAAAAAATGTGGCTTAGTCAACTGTAGAAGCTGAGTACATTGCTGCATCTGAAGCTACAAACCAAGCTGTTTGGTTAAGAAAAGTGTTGGAGGATTTGAAGCATAAACCAAATGAAGCTACAACCATATTTTGTGACAATCAAAGTACAGCAGCAATGGTTAGGAACCCTGTGTTCCATGGTAGGACCAAGCACATCAAGATTAAATACCATTCAATTAGGGTGGCACAAGAAAGAGAGGAAATTGAATTGGTACATTGCAGGTCTGAAGAACAACATGCTGATATTTAACCAAGTCATTGGGAAAAGGAAAGTTTGAAACACTAAGAGATCTTCCTAGTGTTTCCAGCAAAAATGTCAAGGCATGTTGAGTTTAGAATACATTTTAGCTGTCTCGTTTCTTGTCAAATGATTGTTTCATTTTGTATCTTAAAGTCATGTGATTTAAGTACAATAGTTGGTAGTTTAAAATTTTATAAAGTTGTCTAAGTATGGTCTTATGTATGNTCATTTGAAGGCTGAATTTTGTAACCAATGTCATGTGATTTAAGTACTATAGTTGGTAGTTTTTTACTTTTGTAAGTTATCCAAGTATGGTCTTTGTGTTGTTGTCAACTTGATAGATTGGAGTAGGTAGCAAGTTGTTGACAAATCAAGTGTTTTTGTTTTTTCATATATATTCAGCGAGAAAGAATGAAACGTATGTTCTATTTTTTTTCTCTTCTTCTTTACAGAGCATTCCATTTTTTGTCAAAACTGGTAAGTGCAACTCTTTGAATCAATAATCTTACACTATAAGCATTGCATCGCCAATCCCTGTTTCATACTTGGGTTTGCGCACCAATTCTAATCTATCAGTTGTAATTCCATGTGCCACAATAAACCAATCCCTCGGGTTATTTCTGGGGTATAGTACTTTCCAATGGATAGCTCCATTCACAAATACACCGCAACCAGTGAATACGAATCCAAGAGGGCCATCAATGATTCTGTTAAGCTACATTTTAGTCAAGGTTAATTATGTAATTATACAGTTCATCTCTTCATTCCATAGGCATGAGTCATTGGCTACATTGTATATATATGTGCTGTAAATACTTCAGAATTAAATGAAATCATTTCAACAGTTTTTCCTGCCAATTTTTTCTTCTTTCACTTCCGAATTCATTTAATCCCTTCATGGTATCAGAGCATTCATTGAAGCTTCCTTGCAGTGGATGATGATTATGGTATTGGAGTAGAATTTCACAATCAGTGTGAACATGCAAATTCTTCTGGCGATTCTGTAATTGGAGAAATGGCGGCAGAGGATACTGATTCTCTTCTAAATCGGTTGGTCATTGATCTAACCAGTCCATATTACCTACACCATGGAGATAACATATGAATGAAGATCATTTATGTGATTCTTATTGATGATAATTACTCGAGATGGAGTAGAGCTGTTATAATATCATTTACTGTCAAAAATAAAGAAGGTTTCATTGATGGAACCATTGCCAAACCGTATAAGGATGATGATGTATTCGGTGTTTGGAGGAGATGTAATCATGTTGTTTCCTCTTGGATTATTAACTCAATTCCCAAAGAGCTCTATCCTAGCATTGTTCATAAGGATTCAACTAGAGAGATCTGGATCGAACTTCGAGAAAGGTACAACCAAGGTAATTTCACACGGATCTATGAGCTGAAGAAACAGACCGCTTCAATTTCACAAGAGAGTGGCTCTGTTAGCTCATAATTCAATAGGTTCAGAGGACTTTGGGAAGAATTGGATAACTATAGACCAGAAGCTAACTGTACTTGTTATAAACATGAAGATCAAGTGATGCAATTCTTAATGGGGCTAGATGATCAATTTGCAACTATTCGAAGTCAGGTGCTTATGATGGATCCATTGCCTTCTTTAAATAAGGTGTTTGCTCTCATTCTACAGGATGAAAAATAGAAAGACGTTGTTGCTAAAAAGCAACAACATTATGAAGCATCAACATTTGTTGGTAAAATGATGAGTGGATCATTTGGAAGTCATAGGAATAATTCGTTCACTCAATTTCAGAGAAAAGACAGACCTATATGTAGCCACTGTGGTATGCCTGGCACCTTAAAAGCAAGTGTTACAAGATTATAGGATATCCACCAGGTCATCATTTTGCCAAAGGAAATATGCCAATTGCCAATGCTATTACTCAGATTCCTGTTAGTAACAGAGCTGAAAGTGTAACTCTCAGCCAAATGTGATCATTACTCCAGATCAGTATCAGCAACTTTTAGCCATGCTTGTTCCACAATTGAAAGCTCAATTATCTACTAACAGTTCTAAACCACTAATATCATCAGATGTTCCTGAAACTTCTACTTTTTCAGGTGAATAAATTGATCATAATGCTCGACGTTGACTTCAATTTACCTAGCTTGATACTAGAGCATCAGAACATATGGAGTGTTCTGTCAAGTACTTGACAAATATCATAGCTGAATCAAATGCCTATGTTAGGCTACCAAATGGTGATCATGTTGCTGTGACAAGCATTGGCGCAGTTAAACTGTCAGATGAATTGATGCTGACAAATGTGCTTGTGGTGCCATCTTTTACATTCAACCTTATCTTTGTCAGTAATTTGGTTGTCAAACATAATCGCTTTCTGATTTTCATGGATAAATCTTGTCTTATACATGATCTTTTAACATGGAGGACGATTAGGGAAGGCAAACTTGAGGATGGCCTATACCAAATCCAGTCCAGTGGAAAGTCTTTCATCAAATCTCTGTCAAACCTGCTACTTCTTTTGCCACTAGCTGCAGTCCTATATCTAATTTTCATTGTAATAAAGCTTTCAGTACTTCTTGTAATTTATCTAAAAAATAGCAATATCAATAGTCACATTGATGTATGGCACTGCCGGTTAGGCCATGTACCTGTGTCAAAACTATCTGCTCTACATAAGTATGTCTCTACTATCAAATTCAATAAATCTTTACATTGTTCAATTTTTCCACTGGCTAAGCAGCACAGACTTTCTTTTCCTTACAGTAAAACAAGAGTCTCCAAAGCTTTTGACATCATTCATTGTGACATATGGGGGCCCTATTCTATTCCCTCTTTAAATGGATCTCAGTATTTTCTAACTACTATCGATGACCATACTAGGATGACATGGACTTATCTTATGAAACCAAATCTCATACCAGGCCTATCCTTCAGTCATTCTATTCCTTGATTCAAACACATTTCCAAGGTAATATAAAAATCTTGAGATCTGATAATGGGGTAGAATTTGCTATGACTGATTTCTTTAACTCTAAAGGTATCATTCATCAAGTTAGTTGCATTGAAACTCCACAGGAAAATGGTATAGTCGAAAAGAAACACCAGCATACTTTGAACGTTGGTCGAGCTATTAAATTTCAAGCTAACTTACCTCATCAATTCTAGGGAGATTGTATCCTGACTGTAACACATCTTATAAACAGAACTCCAACCTCCATTCTCAATGACAGATCACCATATTAAATGCTTTACCAAGATGCTCCATCATATGGTAATCTCAAGGTATTTGGCTGCCTCTGTTATACTGCTACCTTGAAAAGAAACAGAACAAAGTTTGACCCTCAAGCTTTAACTTGTATATTCATTGGTTATCCTTATGGTATGAAGGCCTATTGATTATATAACATTCATACCAAAACCTCTTTCAATTCTAGAGATATTCTCTTTTATGAGAATATTTTTCCATTCCATCATCCATCCTTTATTCAGTCTTTATCCAAACCTGATTACATTTCACAGCCTATTCAGACCTTATTTTCTCCTCAAACTTCTTCAAATCTTGATTCCAGAGTCCCTTTCCACTGGCACTCCTACATCATCCCACAACATCATTTTTGATTCTGTACCACCTGCTGATATACCTGCACCTATAGTGTCATCTCATACTCCTCAGTTACTTATTTGAAAGTAAAAAAAGACTATAAAACCTCCTTCTTGTCTTCTGGATTATCATTACAACCTGGCCTCTCAAGTGCCCGAACCCCAATCAAATTCTATGGTAAAAGGTTCAGCTAATGGTAAGAAATATCCTATCTTCGAACACTTGGACTACATTTAATTATCTGCTGCACATAGACAGTATTCCTTGGCATTATCTACTATTTTGAGCCTCAGTCTTACGTTGAAGTATCTAAGTATCCTCAATGGTGCCAAGCTATGGAGTTGGAATATCAAGTTTTGGTTTCCAATCATACTTGGGATGTGGTTCAACTCCCTGCTAATAAGAAGCCAGTGGCATGCAAATGGGTATTCAAGGTTAAACTCAAAGCAGGTGGGACTGAGGAAGGGAAGAAAGCATGTCTAGTTGCTAAAGGTTTTACCCAATAAGCTGGAATAGATTATGAGGAAACCTTTTCTCCAGTGGCTAAACTGATAACTGTCAAGTCAGTATTAGTTGTGGCAGCTCAGTTACAATGGCACCTGCATCAGTTAGATATCAGCAATGCCTTTCTACATGGTGATTTGCATGAAGAGGTACACATGTTGTTGCCACCAGGGTATGAGCAGTAGGGGAAGAATGGACTACAGTTGGTTTGCAAATTGAATAAGTCTATCTATGGACTTAAACAAGCCTCAACACAGTGGAACACCAAACTTACCTCCTACATTTTGTCACAAGGTTTCAAGCAATNAGTCTATCTATGGACTTAAACAAGCATCGAGACAGTGGAATGCAAAACTTACTTCGTATATCCTATCACAAGGGTTCAAGCAATCAAAGGCAGATTATTCATTATTTTACAAACAAAATGGCTGCTCAATTTCCATTCTGTTGGTATATGTAGATGATATAATCATTGGTGGGAATGATTTATCGTATATTAATCAGCTCAAGAGAGAGTTAAATGATCAATTCAAGTTGAGGTATTTGGGAATTCTTGAGTACTTTCTTGGGCTGGAAATTACTAGAACTTCGAAAGGCATTTCCATATACCAAAGAAGATATGCATTGGAAGTCTTATCAGATGCATGCTAATTAGGGGCTAAACCAGCAGCTAACCCTCTGCAGCACAATTTGAAATTAAGCAAGGATGAAGGATAAGATGTTCCAGATGCAAGTGAATATAGTAGATTAGTAGGAAGAATCCTTTATCTAACTATAACGAGGCCTGACGTATCCTATGCAGTTTAGCTACTTAGTCAGTTCTTACAGTCACCCAAGTAGCCTCATTTGGATGCATCATACCATGTTCTGAGGTACTTGAAAGGGACATCAGGACAAGGACTGTATTTCGAAGGCAGGTTGGACCTGAATTTTAAAGGATATTGTGATGTAAATTGAGCTGCTTGCAGTGATACCTTGAGGTCTGTTACGGGGTATTGTATATTCCAAGGTAATTCCTTGATATCATGGAAGTCTAAAAAGTAACATATCGTATCAAGATCTTCAGCTGAAGTTGAATACAGATCTATGGCAGCTGCTGTGTGTGAACTAAGTTGGCTAAAGAACTTGCTACATGATTTGGGTATTGAACAATGCAAGGTAGCCTTGTTGTTTTGTGATAACCAATCTGCAATTCACATAGCAAGTAACCCAGTATTCCATGAAAGAACTAAACATATCGAAATAGATTGTCACTTGGTTAGAGATAAGGTTCAGACAGGTGAAGTGAAAATGCTATACATAGCCTCACAAGATCAAGTTGCTGATTTATTGACAAAGTCATTAGGTGGAATCAAGTTCAAATCCTTATTATACAAGATAGGAGTATTGAATATATACTCTTCATATTGAGGGAGAGTGTTATGCTACATTTTAGTCAAGGTTAATTATGTAATTGTATAGTTCATCTCTTCATTCTATAGGCGTGAGTCATTGACTACATTGTATATATATGTGCGGTAAATACTTCAGAATTAATTGAAATCATTTCAACAGTTTTTCCAGCCAATTTCTTCTTCACTCACTTCGGAATTCATTTCATCTCTTCAGATTTTACATGAATCAGTTTTTGAACTGTACACTTTGACAAGAGTTTTAATTTCATCCAAATCATCAATCGTACAACCAACTTCTACAACTTTGTATTCATTAGTAGATTCATCGTAAGCAAACCCGTATTCCGTATCAAATACATTGATACTAGAAATTGGTAACTCTCGGGACTTTCTTGTTGCTGGGTTCAAAATAATAACAGTACTGAGATCCAAACTAGGCATACCAACCCATTGCAAGAACCCACAATTCGTAGTATAGTCACTGGTTCAGATAAAGGACAATCAAGCGGAACAATATCCATAGATGGGATTTCTTCTGTTTCATCGTAACGGAGATAAGTGTAGAGATCCAGAGAATTAGAGGAACGTCCCAGAATTAGGCTATTGTGGGAGTATATAGTGTTATTACTTGAAATTTTGAGGTGGGTCTTCATGAATTCTGGGCTGGAGATCAAAGATAGCCATGATTTGTAAACACGCCTGAATTTCAATAGGGATTTTACATGGAGTCTCAATAATATCTCTCTGATCATCTCTTGAGGAAGAATCGGCAAGAACTGAGAGAATTCGACCTCCGGTACAGCGTTCAGGGATATGTTATCTTTCGGCAGTGGCATTGCTGAATCGAGTGACATTTTTGCAGATTGTTGGATTGAGAGAAATGAGGTAGTTTAAATTTGGTGAATTGGGGAGTTTTTATACAGTTGATTAGGACTTGGGAGTAACAAATTCCAACGCCAAAAAGTAATGAAATTTACACATACGGGTACCCAAACATTGCCTCTTAGAACACTTGAATCCGGACTCACTAGAATAGTTCTGGCAAATTCTGGGCTAGACATTGCTCTACATGATACTTATTATGTGGTTGCACATTTCCATCATGTACATTCTATGGGAGAATTAATTCTTTTGATTTTCAACTTTCAAACTTCCTAGGTCTCTTTGGACAAAAACTATCATGTACATGATCACTTTAAGAAGGATAAATCACATCAAACAAATATATTTCTTTAAAAATAAAAAAGGAAAAGGAAAAATAGAAGAAAAGAAAAAAAAAGAATGGAAAATGTCGTTCTTCTTTTCTATTTATCATTTCCTTTTTTTGTATTTTAAATCAAAATAATAGGTTGACAAGAATACCTTTACCTCAAGTGGCCATTTCACAAAAAGTTTGGATGGTTTACGTAGTGAAAAGATATGTTTGCAATTGCATAGGTTTGGAGATCTCAAAATTAGGAAAATTTTGATTGGGATCTACATGGTCCTAGTGACCATGTCTAGGAACCTTAACTGCAACTTTTACAATTCTTAGACGTGTTTGAGAAACGTTGATGAAGCATTCATTGCGTGTCGAAAATTTAAAAAGATGATATACCGCGTGGCTTGTCACATGTATTCCACGAGTGTCAGTGTTTCATACATGTCAAACATGCATACCATCAACATGGATAAGCATTCATTGTGTGTCGAAAATTTAAAAACAAATATATGAAATCATGATTCATCATGATAAATGTGTTTTACACACTTATCCCACCTTCTAAATTTGATGAAGTATGACTAATTGATCGAATATCTACATAATTTCATGTAATTATATATCGGAGATCTCAAATTTAGGAAAATTTTGATTGGCATTTAAATGGTCCTAGTGACAATGTCTAGGAACCTCAACCGCAACTTTTACAATTCTTAGACGCATGTGAGGCATGTTGATGAAGCATTCATTGTGTGTCAAAAATTTAAAAAGATGATACACAGGTGGCTTGTCACATGTATTGCACGAGTGTCAGTATTTTATACATGTCAAATATGCATACCATCCACATGGGTAAGCATTCATTGTGCGTCGAAAATTTAAAAATAAATATATGAAACCACTATTTATCAAATGTGTTTTACACACTTATCTCACCTTCTAAATTTGATGAAGTATGACCAATTGATCAAATATCTACCTAATTTCATGTAATTATATTAATTGTAAGTAAAATTGGACTTGGAAGTGTGATTTCTATTAATTGAATTTACATAGTTGTTAATTTTGGAAGTGTGATTTCTAATAAGAAGAAAAAACGAGGGCACCGGGAGAATTGACAAGAAATTCATTTTAGGGATCAAAATGAATAAAATTAGAAGTTTGGGGAAAAATAATAGAATTCAAAAGTTCAGGGACCAATGCTACGAAATATTCTCGCATTTTTAACGACTTTTTGGTCAATTTTGGATGATTTTCTACTCTTTCGTTCTCGTTTTTCAAGACTTCTCTTGAGATTTTCTTTAAGACATTATTAGAGATGAAATTGAGGGAAAATGCAAGAATTCAAGCTAGTATGCCTTTTCAACCTTGGGGCAATATTGATAAGTTCTTATCTTTTTCTTATACTAGTGAATGCACGTGTGTTGCACGTGCAGTGGGTGATGTAGTGTAAGTAATAATGTTGGATTTTGGTTTTGCGGGATTCAGTGGAAAATAAAGTCTACTTCGAATGAAGATTGCATTGGATTATATAAATTTTATGTCCACGCATATTTTCATTCTCGGTGGTAATACTAAGACAAAAATGGAGTTGTTTCATGTTATGCGTGGATACACGAGTTTTAACATATTTATCTTCGGTAGTTAATAAAAAGTCTTTTACATTATAAATTTTTTCATTTCATTTCATTTCCTTTGATGTTCAAATTTTTTGTGCTTTTCAACACTTATTTATGCTCTACATTCATTCATGGTTGATTGTCAAATAATCTAACATCAAATACATCGTATCTCATCCTATTCCTACATTTGACACAAATCACACAACTTAACTATTTAACTTAAGATTTACAATCCACTTAAATACGTTTTTTTTTTCAAATGCTAAAAAAATTATCTCTTACATTACAGTTCGTTTGTGTCACCTCTTATTAAATCTCATCATACCATCTTTAACTTTTTTTTTTCACAAGCGAACACAATTCAAGCTACATTCGTCGAGAACATCTCACAGCTTTTCAAGACACCTTACTACCACAGAAAGTATACCTCATTTTAAATGTACAAGTTAAAGAAATAGATACAAATTATAGAGCTCAAGTTGGAAACGTCCGATGCACAATCAATGCAAAAACTAGCATTGTTGAAATTAAGTGCCCGTTTGCCCATCATTCCACATTATAATGAGATGAATAGTAATTTTTTGTAGAATGTATGGTTAACAAAGAAGGACAAATTCTTGGGTTTACGTGTATAATTGATAAGAAGAGAGAGAGAGAGAGAGAGAGAGAGAGAGAGAGAAATGAATTATAATTTAATGAGGAATAATGACGACCAAACGAAGGCTAATGAACAAAAGGAAAACTTACCCAACACACTTCCAAACGGCTCGGCTTAGATGGCCAATGGCTTATGAACAGTAACAAAACCCACTCTTTTATATTTATTATTAGAAATCTGTTTATATACAACTATTTTAATTTGGATATTACAATGATGATGAACTATTTTCTTAGAGAAAATAACGTTGCCTATCAAAACCGTTGATTTTATTTATGAAGTTTTGATTTTGATTTGATATTGATTTGTCATTTTGATTTTGTATAGATATAATTAATCGGTGTATGGTAATAAGTCGAGAGGTAAATTATTGTTAAGAACGAGTAATAAAAATTGATAATTTTAATAGAAGCTAGGAATATACTTCTAAGGTTGACAATCGTTAAATAAATTTTTTGATAATTTAACGTATTTAAGCAAGTTGAAATTCGCATAGAGATATAACGAATTTACTTATTTAAGTAAAATTGATTTTTTAAAGAGGTTTTCAAGATATTTGAAAATTTTAACCAAGACATTAATTTCATTGCTTTGTAGGTAAAATCATTTGGGGATAGTTATGCTGAAATAGTTTATCATAAAATATTTTCTCATCCCTTTTAACTTTTAAAAT